CTTGAACATCTGACAGCTCCAGTTCTTTTTAGCTGAGGGTACAACCCAACCAGCTCAGGTGTCTAGAAAAAGGGAGTTGCATAATAAATCTTGTTGTTTTTCATTGAGTCTGTCAAAATGCACCAGACCAGACCCAAGAATGAGGCCCTGATTTTGTATTTCTGTGTTTTAGTCTCAGCCTTCTACTTCGCCCCTTCAGTTTTTGCCTCATGTTTTTCTTGTGCAAAAAGAACTAGAAGATATATTACAGGGTTACTGGAATACAAAAATTTAAGAAAGAAATTGAAGAGTAGAAAAATAGAGTGGATAAGATTAAAAAGAAGTAACCACCAGAGTAATCCTGCAAGTTTAATTAAAGAGTAATGCAACGATGTCTCAGCCTCTGTTCAAAAATCAGCATGGAATTTAGGGAGAAGAGCAGAACCCCCACTGACAATCAGAACAGCTTATGTTACAGTCATTTATAATAAAGAGTTGCAGTAAGATTCATTTTATGGACTCAAATCTAGTCTGTTTGTTGTTAATGGAGAAAAACAACTTACTAGCCATCTGGTGCATGTCCTCCATGCAGGCTCTGATGACTGACCGGTAGTTTTTACTTACTCCAACCAACCTGGCAAGAATAAAAAGGCCTTGTTTAAAGAGAGATTTACTATTGGCCATATGGCTACTGGGCATTAGGATCAAGACCCTTCAGATTTTCTCTGCTCAGCCAGAGATTCACCTCCTGCACTGGAGAATCTAAATGAAGTAAGGTGGGGTCCATATAGGTTCTGTCTTCACAAAATTATCTGCAGGCACAGAACCTAACTGTATAAAATATATATTGAAAAGAATAGTTACGTAAAATTACTGAGCAGCAGCAGCAGCTCCGAGAACTTGAAACTCAGAAGTTTCATTATTAGCTTCACTGACTTGTGTTTGATGTACAAACAGGAGCAACATGTTAGGCCTTTTTTGTACAGCATAATTATTAACGTACCACCTTCCTTCCTAACAAGACAGCCATGTGCACCAATCCTAAGGGAACTGATCTCCTAACCCCTCGGCTAGGGAGGAGGCAACATTCATCAGCAGTAAAGGAGACTAGGCAATAGGCAATAATAAAGAGGAATAACAAAACCAAAATATGTTCATTACTACATTCAGTCAACAAGAGGCAAGTAGGTATTTATGTCTGATCGCTTCAGTGACTCCGAGACACTTTAACAACCAAAGGGGACGTGCAAACATGCTACTTGAATTTTGCCTCGATAAGAGGACATTCTTGGAGGGGAGAGGGAGGGGGCAAGAAAGCTGAATAGTCCTTTTTATGTCAAATGTATCAAGCATTTCCATCCACTCACTGTGCCTTCCTTGATTTCCCAGACAGTTCTTCATCACTCCTCTGGAGCCCAACAAAGATGCCATGGGATTCATTGAAAAGTTTACGTAAGGTATGTAAGTGTATGTCCTGATCCTTGCGAAGGACATGAATATAGGGGCAGCCAGGCCCTTTCTCCCCATGTCCTGAAACAAATCAGGGAAAGCATCAGTTCATAAAACAACACGAGCGTTACCACTCCGCAGGACAGAAGCATGCTTCTAGGCTTCAAAAGTTAAAACCCAGGGTTTAATGGTTTTGAAATGATGAATTAGAATTAAGAAACGAGCCAGTAGCAAAAACAGCGCGAGACGCGCAGACCAACTAGATACAATAAATATTCCACTGGAGCCAACTCCGAGTCCGTTCCCCTGTGATCAGTGTCCGAGTCTCTACATTCCTACATCTGAACGCCTACGATTTATCAACGCCAACGGCGCTGAATTCCCTGCGCTTGCCCCGTTTGTGCTGCTGCTTCTGCCACGTGCAGTTTCCTTCCTTAACAGCCTCAACTCAGGGAGTCAGAGAGAGGCCCTGAAAAATCTCAGCTCCTGTTAAAACAAAAACTTAACCCTTATTTATTTCTTTATTTACGTTCAGAAAAAAATGGGGGGATGTTAACCCTTATGTTGCTGAATAAGACTGGGGCCATGTTAACCCACCTGCGCCGGGGAAGGCGGCCTCGCACACCAGCATCTCTCCGGGTCCCCACTGGAAGTGCAGCCGCCCGCGGCCCGGCGCCACCCCCGGCACCAGCTGTCAGGAAAGAACAGCGCGGTCAGGCCAGGCCGGTGCCCCCGGCCCGGCCCGGCCCGACCCACTCCCCACTCCCGTACAGTGAGCGCCGGCTCCACGTCCACCTCCTCCATGGCACCGCCGCCGCCGCCGCGCGTCCTCGCAGAGGGAGGCCCTTGCCCGGCTGGCCGTCGCGCTGCCTGTCGCCCTCGACTCCGCCCCACGTTGCGGAGCCGCCGCCTTCATTAACCTCTGAGAGTAGAAACCGCTGTGGTGAGGAGGATGGGTTTATCAGGCCTTAACAGTGAGGTTTGTTTGGGGGGCAGGCGCGCCAAGGGCAGCCCCGCGCGACGGGGGGAAGGAAGGACCCCGCTGGCCCTGCCGGAGACCTGAGGGCTGGGCGACCCCTGTGCTTCTCCCGCCCCCGCAGGCTCAGGGGGGCGCGGTGCTGAGCCGGGTTCAGCACCCCCCGCCCTCGTGCCCTGGTGCCCGGTTCAGCGCAGCGGTTGTCGGGCTGCACAGCGAGGCCTCCGCAACATCGCCCCGCTGGGCCGCCGGGTGCGGCCGTAACGGTGCTGCTGTCGCTGTCTTGACTCTTCGCCTTTCGCTGCTGTGCTCTTCCAGGTCTCCGCTCTGCGTGAGGCGTCTCGTGGTTCGGGCCGACATGGAGATAAGACGGAAAGAAGACGAGACGGCCGCGAATCCGTTATGTGCGAAGTGGTGTGTCGCCATGGTGAAAAGCGAGCCTGATGCGTGGGAACCACTGGATCCCGAGTCTGCCGTGGTGCACCAAGCTCAGCCGTCGGTGCTGGATCAAAAGGAAGTCCTGCCCAATCCAGAAACTCCCCATGACTACGACATTGGGAATTACGTAGACTGCAGGCATTCGATAAGTGATGAAATTAAGTATAAACTGCTTACCCAGCCGTGGACCCCTCATCCGAGCTACGAGTTCCCAGTGTATAAAGACTCGGAGAACACGTCGCGAAAATTTAATTACTCGTGGCTGATAAATTATCCGTTCGTATCTTATAGTGAGAAATGCGCTGGCGTCTTTTGTCGCGTTTGTGTGCTGTTTGCCCCAATACAGGTAGGAGGCCAGAAACTGTCTACGCTGGTTTCTCAGCCATGCAAGAATTGGCAAAAAGTTACGACAAAATTAAAAAATCACACTACAAAAAAGTTTCACGAAGCAGCCTGTTTGGAAGCGCAAATATTCAGTGAATGTTATGAAAAAACCTATAAAATTCTCATACACACGCTGGATGAAGAAAGATGTGCCCAGGTAGAAGAAAACCGAAAGAAACTTGCACCTATCATTGAGACTGTGGTGTTTGCAGGTAAAAACGGTCTGCCACTTGGAGGGAAGGATAATGGTGAATTAGATAAGAATGGTGAGAGTAAATCTGAAAGCATTTTCCAGTCACTTCTGCACCTTCATTGTCAAGCTGGTAACGTAACCTTACATGAACACTTACTAAATGAGCCCCAAAATGCAATATACAGTAGTGAAACCATTCAAAGGGAAATTATAGAAGCAAGCAATATCATCGTCAGAAGCAAGCTGGTATGTGAAATAAATGAGTCAGGTTTTTTTGCCGTATTCCTAGATGATGAAACCACGGTCATTTCAAATGTGGAACAAATGTCTGTCTGTGTGCGGTATGTCAAAGAAGATCCAGTTACAGTTTGTGAAGTTTTCCTAGGCTTTTTACCTGTTTATAACCTGACTGGTACCAGTTTAGCAAAGGCCCTTTTGGATTTCTTGAGAGAATGTAGTCTAGATTTGACAAAATTGAGGGGGCAGGGTTATGATGGAGCCACCAGAGTGGCTGGCCACATAAACAGTATACAGGCTCACATAAAATCTGACTTTCCCAAAGCTGCGTACAGCCATTGTGCATCTCATGCTCTGAATCTTACCATAGCAAAATCTTGCACAATACATGGAATAGAAACTACCTTAGGCATTCTGAATGAAGCTATCGAATATTTTGAGGAATCAGCCAAACGGATGAAGTACCTGTCAGATGCTATAAATGCCATGTGTCCAAAGAGCAGGCACAAACGCTTGCAAAGTGTCTGTGTTACTAGATGGGTGGAGCGACATGACAGTATCATGGTGTTCGCTGAGCTCTTTGATGCTATTATTGCAGCACTAGAAGCAATGCAGACGGATGGTGACAAAGCGGTCAGAAATAAAGCAAATTTCTACTACAAAAGCGTATGTGATTTTGAATTTATTATCAGTTTGACAGTTGCTGAATTCCTCTTAGGAATCACTCTTCCACTGTCCAAGGAACTTCAGAGGGTAAATGCTGACATTGTGGAATGTTTTGACCAAGTGAAATTGGCAGTTGAGGTTTTAGAAGGTAAGAGATCTAACTCTAATGCTGAATTTGCAGAAATATTTAATATTGCCCAGTCACTTGCAATTAAACATGACATTGAGGTAAAATTGCCTCAACTTGCAGCCCGGCAGCAACACAGATGTAATGTTCCATGTGACAGTGTTGAGGACTACTTTCGAATTAACACTTATATCCCATTTTTGGACTTCATGATTCAAGAACTGGCACAGAGATTTACATTGCACAGCAACACTGTAACAGATCTTGGCATTCTAATACCTCTCTTTTCATGTCGGTATCCATCTGAAAAGCTTAGCCGTGTTTTAGAGATGTATGGCGAAGACTTGCCAGATAGCGGGAATATGGTTTTGGAGGAATTTCAATTGTGGAAACTCAAGTGGCAGGGCAAGGAGGAAAACGAAGTGCCAAGCACAGCCATTGATAGTCTGACAGACTGTGACAAGGGATGGTTTCCAAATATTCATATTTTGCTCAGGATTCTGTGCACACTTCCTGTATCCGCAGCTCCAGAGAAAAGAAGTTTCTCTACTCTCCACAGAATTAAAACTTGGCTTCGTTCAGCAGTGGATGAAGAGCGTCTTAATGGACTGGCCATGTTGTACATAAACTCGCACATTAAAATAACTGTCAGTGAAGTGTTGGATGAACTGTCAAGACGCTCAAGGCTAGATTTTATTTTATTACTCTGAATGAGAAATGTACATAGACTCCTAAGGACAAAAGTCTTTCCTAGTTTGTTGCCCTTTTTATACTTAATATAGCAACTGACTACACATTCCAATAAAGTTGAATTTGTTTTTACTTCAATCTTAAACTCAATAATATAACCCTTGGACCCTAGGATATTAGTAAAGTTTCTAGTTTCTTTGTAGTTGGAGAAAAATTGCATTGTTATATGTGATGAAGATGCACCACATCACATGCTGGTCCTTGTGCCTAGATGCCCCAGGCAATTTTGTCTGTCATCCCACTGGTTTCCTCGGGCCATAACCAGTCATGGTTTCTGCCTGATTAACCTCCGTAGGCTGAAACTGGAGGCCAGTGTGGAACTATGGAACTACAGAACTCTGGCCAGCTGGGAACACTGCCAGCATAGAAAGTCTAGGGAACTCAAGACCTGCCCAACCAAGAAAACAAAAAGCAGGAAAGCACTATTTTCTGAAAAAGCAGAAAGTTGATGAGAAAGGGGGCATTGATTACCTTTTTAAAGCTCATTCCTTCTACACTAATGTGACTTGGGAAAGAAGAGGTGTCAGTATTTATGAATGTTGATGTAAGGAGCTGGCAAGATTGCATGTAGTTCATACTCTGTGCACAAAACCATATAAATGCGAAGTGATGGTTATACAATCAGGCTTCCAGAGTTAAAAGGTGAAAGGTCAACTTTAACCTCGCTCTTTTTGCTTATGCAAACCCAAGCGTGGGCTTAATGTGGAAATGATTATGAAATTGCACGTTGTTTTTTCTCCTAGAAGTAGCATTTCGGTGGAGTTCTCCCTCTTTGCTCCACTTCAACTCAGTCAATTAGGCCATTGACCCCTTACAGACAAGGCGCCAGCTTGTGCCACTTTACTATCACTTGGGTACCACAGGTTTAGGTCTGTTGTGCAGTATGACCTCCCTCTGCAGTGTGCTCTGGGTGACTAGACACTGTCATCTGTCTCTGTGATGGAATTAGGCTCTCTTCTTCACAGATTGGCCAGTTGGCACCAATTTGTTGGTATGGATTGGCCAGTTGCCCAAGGATGAATCTTGTTTCCTAAATTCAAATAGAATTTAAGCCTCCAAGGGAATCTGTGGGGGCTTTGCTCTGCTGAACTCAGCTCTCACTCCTTAGCCTTCTTTGTAATCACATGTGTTTCAACTCAGTTGATTCCAGGCAAGATTCTATCCTTGCTGCTTTCATTTCATGCTTGTTTTACTCTCCCTGTTTGAATTTGGGGCAAATTGTTCTGCCCCATGTCTCCTGTGAGCTTGGACTTTGAAGTCTGTCCTTGCCATTCCACAGAATGTCTGCAGATGGCTTTGGAGAGGAGAATGCGACGCTCCTCACTTGGAAGGAATTCTGTTTTAATTGAGAAGTTGAGACAAAAAAGGGGAATTATCCTAGCTGGTCAGGAGATGCAAGAGCTAAGAATGGAAGCAGACTTCCAGCATGCCCTTGAGCAACAAATCTTAATAAAGCTCTGGACTTATCAAGTGTGCTCCTTTGTGTCAATCAAATTTCTCCATGTTCTCAAAACCTCTCCTCTCTTTGGTACAATCACAGGCCAACTCCCAAAGACCCTAAAATCTTTCATCTCCTGAACATTTGTATATTTGTTTATAATCCTTCTTTATTCTTTCTAGCTTCGCAGTGCAGTTAAGGAGAGAAAAAAACCCAGATCCCATGTTCATAGGACTGCAGCAGGAGAGGAATCCTAATTTCCCTGGGCTTGTCCCCCAGTTTGTACTCTGCTGCCTCTTGCTACACATTCACCTACTCCCTGTCCAGAACTTGCGTGTTCTCAAGGACACCTCTGGGCTCCTCTTTTTCGTTCCATGATGCCTTTTAAACCTCTCCTTCATATTGCCTTTTTATCTTTTCCCTTCTCTCACTTGTATCTGGCTATATCATTGTATTCAGTCATTTTGTTCTCCCCTTGCAGTGCTAAATCCCTCCTAGAAAGGCAGAACAAGCTTCATTGCATAAGACTATTGCTGTGTGGAGTTCTGTGCTGGGCTTGAACACTTGAGAGGGTAACATTACAGTCCAGTGCGGAGATGCACTGTGTGCTGTCTCTTTCAAGCCCTCCTGTCTCCTTCAGTGGTGCTCATCTCATTCCACCATTTTGTGACCTCTTCTTTTCTTCCATTGTTGTCTTTGGTGGCAATCCCTTGATTCGAGGATGATCTCTACTATAGCTCATTGGAGAGTGTTTCCTGTGCCAGAAGCCTATGCATGACTTCATTTAACCTGAGGAAGCTGGTGCACAGAAACAGCAGCCACGCAATCTTCACAAGGTAGAGATCTGGACCCAGTGTCAGGGGAGAAACCCTGATGACGGGAGACCTCTGTTTTGGTGCAGCCACCTTCTGTTTTTACAGCTGTTGAGATCCTACACCTGCCTGATCCACAATTGAGGACTTGGGGTTGGACCATAGTTTGTCTGGAACCTCCCCTCAGGCTTGTTCACCGTGAGTGATCCTGCCAGGAGTGCAAGACTCTAGACAACATAGCTCTGAGGATCATTGGGACACACAAGCCTCTCTACCACTACAAGGTCTCAGTCCACAGAGAGGATCATGAATATATGTGGGGTCAAGTAGTACAGCAGCTAAGTATCTTGCTATGGCTCCCAAGATGTGAGTGTGAGTCTTGTTCTGGACTTTTGCTAAAGGCTGCCCCTAACTGACCCAGCTTCAAATGAGTACCTAGTTGCTTCAGCAGGCAAATGACACACAAGAGCCATGTCACTCCGTGTACTGTCGACTGTAGCGATCGGTGTGCCTTTACTGTGCTAGCCCGCTGGGCTGCCAAGTTCAGTGAGACTTTTTGGCCTTGATATATTGTTGGTGCTTAGCAGTAGTAACACATCTAAATAGCTTCAGTGACTTAGCAGCTTCCCCTACCAACTTCCCCTGTTCATGTACTCCACTGGAAGTCCCATATGACTTGGACAGGAAAGGGTGCTTACTTTACCTGTTCAGAGGGACTTTTCTGGCCATGTTGCCTCCAGAATTTCTCTCTGTTCATTTATATCCTCCATAGTCCCTAATGGGCCATGGGATTGCTCCCAGCTCTTCCATTCATAGTGTGAACACTAACATGATTGTGGCAGGAAAGAACTACACATCAACTCTCATGGCAATGATCTTACTGTGTTGGGGTTAGGGAGAGTGACATCAGAGCAAAGCTTAGATGTTCTCCCCGATCCTCTTTTTCACTTGGATTTTGGCAGTAATACAAGGAACAAAGTTGAGATCTCTGACATGTTGGATCAGTTAGTTCGCTACATTTGGAATATTGCTATTAGCACCAATATCTTACTAGTAAAAACCTGGGTTGTGTTTTTACCCAAACACTTAATAGGCAACCACTGTACAATTTGCCAGGTACATTGGGTCTGCTCTATTCTGTCATCAAAGGGTTAATTTATGCTTGTATTTTCAGAGGGTCTTACTATAGATAAACAGGTTGGACTAGAGTTTCCTTTCATTTACACTGGAGGAAAACAGAAATCACTTTGTGAAAGAACATGAGATTATACCAGAAAAAGGGAATATCAGACTTTAATTTCTCTCTTCAAATGTAGAATTTGTTTGAGCTGCATTATCATAAACTCAAACACACAGGTGTAGCATGAAGGCATTTTGTTGGCTTTTTGTATATTGTTTGGCAATATCAAGATACCATCACCCATATGTGCAGATGAGATGAGCCATGTGATAGCAGAACTTGTAGATTTGCCAAGAATGTGAGATAAAGTGAGTATTTATTGCTCATAGTGAGAGTGTTTAATTGCTAAACTATCTGCATGTGGAAATGAACAACTTTACTTCCATCTTGTAGTGACACGATACAATAGCTGTATGATGATATGGAGGGTGTATGCAGTCACAGACTGGATTAAACTAATTTTTAAAGGCACATTTCTTTCATTTCATGGTTTCATTGGGGAACAAAGTTAACCTGGTTTAGAATATCCTGAGTTTATAACACTTTGCTTTTGGATAATTAAAACATCCCTGTGATACGTTTTACCTTTAAATTACCAATCTATACTCTGTACTATTGTAACTTTCCCCCCTAAATGTCCTTGTTTAAAAAAAATAGAGATCATTAATGTAAATTAGATAAGAAATCCATAGAGAATCTTACCATGCAATACATGTAATGAGTTGAAGGCATGTGGTACCAGCTTTAAATCATTTGTAACTATTAACTTTCCTGGGGAGATTCAGTGGCACACTGAAACAGGTACTGCTGATATGGACCAGTTTCACCAGAGCGTTCCAGGTCTGGAGGTTGGCTGAAAGAAAGTGCAAAAATGTTTGCTGGAGAAGGAAGCAGAGTGTATGTTGAAACACAGTTGCAAGAGCAGAAGAGCTGTGCACAGAGCAAATAAGTATGGAGAGACGGATGTGAAAGAGCCTTGATAGTGAGAACAAGAATATTGACCTTGAGGCAATTAAAACAGGTAACCAAGGGAAAGATTTAAGGAGGGGTGAGGAATGTGGTCAGAGAGATGAGTAGGGAGGTGATTTCAACAGTAGGGGCCTATATGGGCATGTGGGTTTTGGAGGATCCAGAGAAGAAAAATCAGGCTGGGAGATAATGAAAGCCTGAGCAAGAGTCTTAGCTATTTTGAGCAAAATGATCTCAGAAATGTTATGGGGAAAGATGGACATGCAGATCGAGCGACAAGGAAAGAGACAAAAAATGTGCATCACCTCCTCCTCTTTCTCCTGTTAACTGTCCTTAGGAACCTGGAGGGTGTTGCTATCTTAATGACAGAGGCAAGCTTAACTGTGATGGCTTTTAGTTGATAGCAAGATATCAAGAAGTGACTGACAGAGCGGGACTGAAGGGCAGATCAGATGGAGGGAGTCAGGTAAGACATGAGGAGGTAGGATTGCATGCAAGTCATCAGTGTAATTTGAAACTGGGTAGACAAGGTCATCCAAGGAGTGAAAGAGAAGAAGCGCCAAGAATGGGACATATGGAAGAGCATCTGCAGGAGTGACTAGAAAGGTGGAAAGGGAAACAGAGGAGGACAAGAGTAGGGCAGACAGTGTCAAGAGAAACAGTGATGCAAGAAAATGAGGGTGGAATACATGCCCTAGATTTGCCTGTGCAGAGGTGCATATACTGTGTTTAACTTTTCCATGTTAGCAAGTGAATAAGGCTGCATTTTGACTAAAGACATGTAGTGTTAAGGTCTGCTCTGAAACATGATCCTATACAGAATGGTGTTGTGCAGTCTCACATCTATTGTCTCTAAAACTCCTGGGTCAGATCTGCTTCTTTTACAAGTACAGGCATATTTGTTTGCTTTTTATAACTACCAGCACTGCAAATTTAGCACTAGAAAGTCTAGTAGTTCTGCATCTGGCATTTTCATCATCACCGCTAACAAGGATTTTATAATTAATGTCTGCCCTTGGGTATGTCTGGGCAACTCTGATATCATCTAAACATGTGCTGGATTACACCTCTGCAACCCCTTTGCACAGATGTAAGAAAGGAGGTCCTGCGACTGGAACATGCAGTCTGCTGGTGATAGCTAAGAAAAGAATCCAGCTCATTTCTCCTTGAGCTATGGCAGTTTGACAGGACAGATGCAAAAGCCCCTTGTTTTCATTAGTGAGTAGATAAGGACACAAAGGTAACAGGTCTGCTGAGTAGGAAGGTGCATATTTACCTATGCTCTTAAGAGAAGCTGCTTGCTTTCAGAAATGGTGACAACCAACACTTACGTCTGCAGTTTTTGAATGGTCTCTCACTAGTAATCCCTAAATTCTCAGTAATAAACTTAGAGATGTGTCATCTCTTCCCATTTTTATCATTTGACTTGAAACAGCACTTGATATCTAGTCAGTTTGGCTGTTTCTCCTATATAATGAACTTTCCCTGTTGCTGTGTAGATGCCCTGTATACTTATTTTTTGTAAGTAATGTTCATGAACATGCATAGTTGGTAGCAAGACTTGGGGCAAACGTCATCGCTGAAATTGTTTTATAGCTTGTTTTTATATACTTGTAATACAGGAATCATGAAAGCTGATATATTCTCCTAAGATCCAGTTTCTTTTCATATCTGCCTTCAAATCCTTTATTCCACTAACAGTGCCTGCCTTGATATGTCTTCCATGTAATGCTGCTTCTGTCTTTAAATCTCCCATTCTATTCTCAGACAGGAAGCACTAGTTCAACCCTCTTCTTTCAGATAACCCCTAAAGAATTCCCCTGTATGGACAGGTTGTAAATACTAAAAAGAGATCAAATAAGAGGGAAGGAGTGGGCAATGAGAAAGTAGACAACTTATGTTTAAAATACAAAAATGTCTTGTGGCACTATCAAGTAATCTCCATTTTGTGACATGCTTCACACAGTGTTTGCTACAGTGGCTATTTGCATTATTTCTATAAATAGCATGTAAGATAGTTTTGCATGTCTTTTGATCTGTAATGGCCTTCACATGTTTTGAGCCCTGTTTAAGTAAGCTGTATACTAAATGGAAGAATATAGCACCTTTGGTTATTTTAAGAAAGCTCCTTTTCTTCCTCCCCCATATGTTCCTACTCCTCAAACAGCTGTTACAGAGGTGGTGCTGGGTTTTGGCGCTAGTCCTGCCCAGCCATCTTCTGCAGCTGGAAGAGTTGCTCAGGTAGAGTGTGTTAGGGAAACAAATTATGACACTCTTGGAAGAAACCCAAAAGTGAGAAAGTCCATCCACTTGCATGCGAAGAGCAGAGTAATGTAGATGTTAGGTTAGAAACGATTACTGTTGCTCCTCTAAATCAAGCATCTGTTCAAGTTAAACTTTGGAATGAACTCAAAACAGTTCTTAGAGGACATTTATCTGTCACAAAATCACCAGAAAGTATAGCGTCTCTGGCCACAGGCAGGCCAGAACTGAAAAAGAGATAAGAGGAGGTTGCAGATCAGAATGTTGTTCTGGTACAATTATGTTTCCATACCAGGAGCCCATATCATGGATGTCTCTAGTTACTAGCTATTTGTTTATCTTGACTCTTAGGAACTGAAATAAATATGAGCACCCTAATTTGAATGATAAAATGTATGTTGAGTCAAAAGGGAGAGGCTTATTGAAGAAGTCCTCTTTGATAGTCATCCGAGAACATAATAGAAGTCAAGCTGCAAAAGAACTGCTGAATCATCCGTGTGTGAAAAGTTGGTTTTGTGTGGCAAGGAGACATGGCTTGGAAAGAATGGCTTGCCTCTCCTCTTTCACCAGGTTACTCCTTGGCTCCTTCCAGTTTGTTAACATGTGTTATAAGGTCAGTACAGTATGTTAGGATATAGTATGATTACTATGCTACTTATTTTCAAATACAGTGTATTCTTTCCTCTATGTAGTGTGACCAAGTTATCCTATGGAAATGCTACACTGGCCCCCTTGAACGAAGGGGCAGGATGTTACAATTAGAAGGTTCATTGGAATTTGGGATTAGATTCCAAGTTCCAGTGCTGGGAAACAGATCGTAAATGTTATAGTCCATGAGAGGCTGGACTACAGAGAAACTGCGCAAAGAGAATGAATTACCTGTCTTCAGTGGCGGAAACCCAGTCAGTCAGTTCAGAGGCCGAGCTAAGCCCCTCTTGTAAGGTTGCAACTGTATGATATTCATATGATTAGCTGTGAAAATTTGATTTCCAACAAGATCCCAAATCCTGGTAGGAGCGAGGTTTCAACTTACAGACAAATCTTTGTAAAGGCTGTTTATGTGGCCTTAGAGAAATGGGGTAGCATTAGGGAGGGAAAGCCATGGCAAAAGACAAGGAAAGGAAGGGGAGCAGAATTCCTGATGGGGGATGAAAAGGAAAGTCTGAGTTCAGCAGGTGAATAAGAGTTCTCTTCAGTTGACATTGAGCAACATTACTATTTCAGTTTGGTTGTTTTCAGTTGTTGTTTCTGCTCTTATAGGGATGTGGAAGATACATTTTTGGCATTAAAATATGCAAACAATTGGGTTATTTTCCTTCCTATGAAACCGTGTGTGTACAACCAAAGTGTAATACAATGGGGACAAGCTGCCCTAGTAATACCCAAGCTATAAAGGCTCAAGACCAGTTTTGATGGAATCTATACAGCTGGCCTAGCCCACCTGCTGAAGCTTTCAGACCTACTAACGTCAATTCAATGGTTCTTCCACAACTGTGGGGTTAATTATTTTATAGGTTTTTAAATGGCATTGGTTTCAACTGTTAGCGTGAGGTTTCTGAACCTAGCCAGATTAAATCATGGAGAAAGACTCACTGGTTCTCCAAAGTGTGTGAGTGGATTGGTGACTTTTTTTTCTTTTAAGTAGGGCTGTTGATGCTTGAAGAGATCAAACAAGCAGAAGAATTCATCATGGCAAGTGCCTGCTTTGGGTTAGTTTCAGTAAGTCTCTTATTATTGGACTGTTTTCCAGGTGCGGTGTTGCCTTCTTGCCCACTTGAAGGACCTGCAAAACAAACTTCAGCTGCTGTTATATTCCTGCATTATCTCCACATTAACTTTTACAGGCAAACATTGCCTTTGGGCTTATATGTGGGATATACTCCGGTGACTTTAGTGGAAGCTTTGTACACTTTATGACAATATTGACTTGTACCTAAAATATATAGCTTGTGCTTGCTCATGTGCAATCTCTTTCTCTCTCTACACATGCTGTGCTTGGCTTGTTTTGGTGGGACCTGATGAAGACTATCAAGCATTCAAAAGCTTGTCGAAGTCTATCCCAACATAAAAGCTACCACCATAAGAAATCCTCTCCTCTCCCATATATATATTTACACATTTTGGATAGTCTCTAAAGTGCTAATCTACCCTGTCATCTACTTGATTTCAGACTAACGTAGCTAACGTCTCTTTATGCCTGGAACACCACGGGATAAATATCAGCTTTTTGTAACACATAC